AGTCAGGCTCTGGCTGATTTTCAATGAAGCAGCTCCAGAAACTCTCTTGATGACTTACGCAGACTGGAGCCTTTCTTCCCACTCACGACAGAACACAGAAACTTCAACATGTTCAACTCAATCGACTGACCAGCTTCAACATCTGGCTGCTGTGCAGTGTGTTGGAAACAGTTTTCAGGTTTTTACTTCCATTAAATGGAAGGGTTCTGCGTTATATAATATAAGTAACTATAATATAAATGATTTAAACTATCATTTTTCATTTATCATTATTAGAACATATAAATTGTAGTGTAAGCATGTCAGTTAAACTTTTGTATCACACTTACAGCTGCGATAGTCCAGTTTCCCAGTGATAACCCCTTTGATTTACTTTCATTCAATAAGGAAAGGAATCTGTATTTCCACTGGGCAGCTGCCTGCTAGCACAACCTGAGTTGCATGTTCAATGCCTTGCTAATGGGCACCTGAGTAGCATTTACTGAGGAAACGGGATGAAGTTCTGTGCAGTGAAAGTGAATGAGAGGGTGATGAGGCTGTGTTAGAGACACTGGTGAGTGCGGCTGTGTGTGTGTGTGTGTGTGTGTGTGTGTGTGTGTGTGTGTGTGTGTGTGTGTTTAGTTATCAGGGGAGCACAGCATAGCTCTGCTGAGATTAAATTCCCAGAGCTTACTCTGGCTATCAGCATTACTTCAGGACACACACACACAAACACACACACAGAAGGAAAGCAGAGTGGTAGAAAAGAAAGCTGCCATCGCTACATTTTCATTCACAGAAAATATCAGCATCGACAGTATGCCCACTGCTGATATCACCACTGCTATTAATCCCTACCAATCCATCCATCTGTCCATCTGTCCATCACCTCTCTCCCGTTTTTTTTTTTTTTGTCTGTTTTTCAAATGTGTGTCTTTTACAATTATCTGTCAGCAGTGCGGACAATCTTACAGATCTGACATCTTTGTTCTTTCATCATGTGCTGTAGTCTAATCAAAAATAATTTGAAGATGGATATGAAAACAGATATAATTTTAACATTTATAGTTCAAAGTCAAACTGAAATTTTAATTATTTTCACATCTATTTCCATTTTTCTAGAGTGGATGAAACAGATGAAACTGACATTTATGGAGAAAGGTCCAGGTGCAACTGTGACGTCGCTATTGGATCTAGGTTAAAGTTCATTCCCTGCTGTTTCAGAGTGTAATTCACCGCTGTCATTGATTGAAAGACAGCTGCACACATACATTTGATATTAACTTAGCTAACACAGCCAAACATCAACAAGACATAGCAAACCAGCTGGGGCATCTGTTTTTCTGCCTTTAATTTTTACAAAGCTCTCGCCAACGTCTGAGAACCTCTTGCTTCATCAGTCTCCTTTTCTGTTCTTAGCTTCCTCCGTCTACGTCCTCTTCTGTCTAATCGCCTATATCGTTATGTCCATAGAGGCTGCTGAGCCCGGTTATGTTGCTGCACAACAGCGGTGCCACTCTCAATAAGCAGTTATTTTATGGCAGAAAAGTTATATAACGTTGCTTGGTCAATCTGTGGCAGCTATAAATCTTGAGTTAACAAACTTGCTAGATAACACACTCGGACAGCGGTAATTGCGTCGGTTGATGTCTAGCTTTGTTGGCTAGCTTGCCACCCGGTCTCTTGCTCTGTCACTTTCTCTTTTTTTCTTCCTCACTTCCTTCAACAACATCCGCCTCTGCCATGATAGAACTATAGCAACCGCTACGAGACTGGAGTGGCAATGAAAGAGGCGCCATTCACCCTATTACAAGTCATTGTATCATCAAAATGATTTTTAAGCTGTTATTTTAAGATAAAATTACTACATAATGATGCTTTAAAGCCTATGGACGTTCATAACACTTGCTGAGTCACCGACAGCTCCTTCACAGCTCAATGTTGTGTTTATCCCACATTAATGAAAGGGGGGGGGCTAGAAATGCCTGGCTCTCTTTCATGGGTGGCTGTGGTAAATAATAACTGTTAAAGCTTACACCAATAGGTAGTCCTGTAACCTAAGTGCTTTGTACCTAATCGTGTGATTTGAATCATGAGACAGAGTCACGTCCAGAATAACCAACTAGCATACTACGTGACTTTTTGTATAACATTTCTTCAAAAAACCTGACCTGATCTACACCTCACTGATCTGACCAAAAGTCAATTCAGTGAGGTGTAGAAAGGCAGAGTGGCAGTCTAACCTGTGTGTGACAGGTAGCGTCATACTCTGTTCTTGCCGCACCCTGGGAAATAAATCCTGGATGTGTTAATTTCCTCATCTGACCTGATTCCCTCTGTGTGAATGTCTAGTGTGTGACAGAGACACAGAGACAGTGATCTGTGGCATGGGACTGCAGCCCTGTGTATATGTGTATGCCTGCTGTATACACATGGTTTGTGTGTGTGTGTGTGTGTGTGTGTGTGTGTGTGTGTGTGTTGTAGAGACAGCTCTGTCAGTTATCTCTTTGCACTGACAGACAATGCACATGTCAACCAGCAGTCCCAGCGCACACAATGATCACATCTTCTGCTGTAACACACACACACACACACGCGCGCGCGCAAACACCTAACCTGTCAATCATTTTGTCTGGTATTCCCACTGCTCTCTCTTGCTTTTTGCTCCTCCTCCCCTCTTTCTATTCTATCTCCCCATCCCACCACTCTTTCATCATTCTGTTATTTTTCTTTCCTTTTTAAGAAACTGTCTGTTGCCCTGAAACTGGGGCTTTTTCTCCCTCCCATGGGTCTCTGTGATTTTTTTTCCCCCTCTCTCTTTCCTCTCATTGCCACTCCGCTCTTCTCCCTCCCACACACATCTTGCTGACAGATTAAATGTTGAAGGCAAGGTCTTGTAGAGAAAAAGAGAAAGCCTCTTTTAATTGTGTTGATCACTAATTAGCCGGCCTGTCTCATCTCTCTGCAGTGGATGTGGTAAAACAGGATGCCCTTTCCTGGGTCAGTAGGCCACAGCCTCATGCATAACTTGTTCTCACACACTCTCACACATATCCACACACATTACTTTGTACTCCCGAGATTCCAGTTTGGCTGTCATCTTGTAGATTTCTCAGTGGAGGCTGGTGACTGAAAAAGTTTAGGAGGGCATGGTGAAATCGTAACTGTGCAGTAAAAGGTTTTTTTTTGCTAAAGATACATGGTTATATAAAGAACATTTTCCAAGGACCTAGGTTTCACCTCCCTCTCCATTACCCACAGACCACTCTCCTTTGCTCCCAATCATTCATTGTCTTCTGTCAGCTGTCTCATATTTTAAATGCCACAAGAAACAATCTTGAGTCATATCCACAAGCAATAATTCTGGCTTTCCAGACAGAAAACCATGGTTCATAGCGGTAGGGTAGGAATATTGAAAGATTAAAAGCAAATTTTATTGGGATCCGTCCAATGACAGAACATAAATGCATCTGTCCTTTGCAATGTGTCATGGTTCATTGGGTACAGCAGGCCATAAACACTGCCTGGATTAGGACTTCAATTCCCACTGGGCCCACCTGCGTTAAAAATGAATTCACTCATGAATGAAAGCACCCAGCTAATGGCATATGTTACATCATGTTGACCTTATTATAAATAGAAAAACTGTAAAAGGTTTGCCTTTTTGAGCTCTGGCTAATATTGAAGGAACAGACAATTTATTGTTCATGCTGTGTTAAACTTTATTGTGTGAGTTGGTTGCTCTCATAGGCTGTATATAAAGATGATTATTCATTGTCTAATTCATTTAATTTTATTATTTAGTCAAGGACATGGCTTCTGTCTGCCTTCTTGGTGAACAATGGTCAGGTACAGTGACGTGCTGGGTGGAAGGATAAACATGTCTGTCAAGAAGTAGGCTAGTTAGTTACACAGCGTAACTCCTCTTTGTGTACTGAACTGAGATACATCATGTTCATTTAGGAATACTTTTAACTTTGGAGAAAGCCAGGCTAGCTGTACGCCTTCCAGTCTTTATGATATGCTAAGCTAATCGCGGTCTGGCTTCAGCTCCATGCAGAGCGCACAGACAGAAGAATGTGGTGTTGATCTAGTATGTGGACAATTATTAAGTCCTTTTGCAGCAAATGGGAGGATTCACTTTACATGAAACAATCTTTGTGCTATTCCTCATGAATTTTGCAGTATACTGAACTTGGCTAATCTTGTTTTGACAAAAAAGTATTTTCTTTTTGACTCAAACTGTTTGCTGCAGATACAGCAAAGCTATGGGCGATAGCTTTTAGAAAGTGCTGGATGACACAGGGGTCGTAGCATTGGATAAGCATTTTATGGAAGATCAAGCAGCAAATCAATTTTAAGACTACTGGAATTCATTCAAATGTCCAGAGTAAAAAATAACTACTTAAACTCGGTGCTGAGCTGACTTAAAGAGACAGAAAAGTATCCAAACACTTAGGTCACGTTTATGTGTTTAAGTGATTATCCGGATAGTAGTTTCTGTGGAAGACAGCGTGTTTTAGAAGTGAAGTAAATGGTTTCTGGAACCTATCATATCGAGGGACATATCGATGTCAGAGAGCCAGGTTTGATAAGCAGCCAATGTCTAAATATTATTTGTAATCTTAAACAAACCATCCAGCTTGATGAATCAAGTTGGATATGTGTGTCTACATTACTTATTCTCTGTTGAATTCTTCTTTAACAGAAACCATTTATTCTTGCTCTCACTTTGAAGCTCATACCAAGATTCAGTTGTCGTTTTTTGCTCTATCTTCCTTGTTCATATGTTAAGTGGAATTTGAGTCATTTTCAGACAGTGCACTGACATGATTTACTCTGTTTTTTCCTTTACCAGCTACCCGGCTAATCTAATCACACTGCAGGAAAAGAATTTCAGCCAGTGCTCTTTGCAGATCCAAAAATGACTTGTTAGCAATACTCATTAGAAAACCAGTGGCAGGCAATGTGTCGGCCTCAGTGGGGGAGACTAACAAGCTTTTCTCTTTGTGTCCTTCCAGTCATCTGGAGTCAGAGCGCAGTGCCCTGAAGAGGAGAGAGTGGGAGAGGAGGAACCAGGAGGTCCAACAGGATGAAGACCTGTTCTCAACTGGATTCAACTTGTTTGGAGAACCTTATAAAGTAAGAGTGATATATTAGTGAATGGTAATAATTAGATAATTAAACATTTAATCATTTTTACATAGTTAAAGTACATAGTTAGTTTCCCCCACTTACATTTTAAAGCCCCATTCTGTGCTGGATTTACTAGAGAAGGTAGGGTTATTTTAACATAATATGGGTAATATTTCACCCCCAACTCAGTAATATTTACAGCTGCAATTACCTACTGTTCTTTGGTCCTCTTCTAACTTAAAGAGTATTTTAAAATGCTTTTTCTACAGGAAGAGCATATTTTTTTAAATCAACTCAAAAACATTTTTTATGCTGCTAATCTGATAACAAATTAAAGATCAAAATTGTACATTTACACAGTAGTTACAGTTCTCTTTTAAGCCTGTTATTTTAGCTTATATTTGCGAGCACTATGCCAAATTAGCTACTAGCTGTTCCTATTTACACCGAGCCCATGGATGTACAGACAACTATCATTGGATTACTTTGATCCTGACAAAAATGTGTAAAAGGATAAAAGGATTGTCCTTTTTATGATTTCGGAGTGGATTTATGGATGTTAGTTCGTGATGGACGTAGGGAAGTCACAGTAAATGATATCAATATCTGTTTCATGTCTATGTGTTAAGACTTTCACCTCACTCAGTATCTTTGCCTCACGTCTGTCGCTCTGGCTACTGACCTCGTCCTGTGTGATGTCCTTGTCTATTACAGACCATGTCCTGTCATTTCCTGATGGTTAAAAAGCCGTCCAGAACAATGAATTAAACTACAGAGGAGCACAGTGAATATTTCATTCCCCACCTACCCCTGTTTATATTAATCCTGTCTGAACGGGGCTTTGAGGTCATTTGCCTCCCTGCTCCAGCTACGTATGTAACAACATAGTGGTCATCTAACTCAAAAAGAACGTGAATAAGCTTTTTTCATTATTATTTCTTAAACACTTTGAATCACAACTTATATTGCAGTAAACAGTCGGTTTAAATGTAAGGACAGAAACACAAAGCGAGCCTGTAAGCTAACATCAGCAAGCTACATACAGCACACACACTCGTCTTTACAACCTGGCTGCATTGTGGTTCTTTAGACCGAGTGCTGCTTTCACCACACAGAGTGCTCTCTCATTGCTGTTTAGGAGACAGTTTTATATTATGCTGTTAGGTTTTGATTGATCTGTGCGGGAGGACAATGTACATACCTGACACCAGAATTTCATTTGGGCAAATGGAGTGAATTTACGACATCTTAATCAGTGAGGATGGGCCGCTCTCCTCTAAAGCAGCCCGCTTTGTGATTTAGACTCATCTGAAACGAATTTGCCTTGTGCAAGCAATGAATTGAAAGGAACTGTCATTGCTAACTAACAATTATCCAAACATATTTTTTGTACCATAATGCACTTTATGCTGTTTTTGTGGATGATAAAGCTGATGATAACCTGTGGGCCATTATAGGCCATTGTAACCATTTTTAATCATGCTCTCCCCCTGAGGCCAGTGCTGTAATATCCTTGGGCATAAGGTTCTGGTCTGTTCTGTTCTATGGTATTTGAGATCATCATTTTGTTTCTTCTTTAGGTAAAAGTGTACTAATCTCGGATGAACGCTCTGGCCACTCTCCTGCCCCTGTATATAAAATAGATTTTGGTTTGTTAACTTGCATTTGCTACTGCCAGACACTGCAACACTTGGTTATGCCACCAAGTGGGATATCCTTGGGATAGACTGGCTTTGAATCTTGACAGAATGTGTTTAACTGCTGTGTCTGAACGCAGAGGACACAGAGGCTTTTCACTAAGACGCTGCTCGAGGTTCGGGGACGATGGCAGCAGAGAGGTTGTTCTGATAATGAATCTAGTCCTATGTGCCTCCATACTCCAACTAATTGTTTCCAACTAATTAATGGCGCTGAGGTGAGGTCAAGATGTGTGTGTGTGTGTGTGTGTTTGTGTGTGTGTGGGTGGGGGGGGGGTTCTTCTACTATATTTGTGGGGTCCAAAAACTGTAAGGCCACTATACTTGTGGGGTCCGACAGCTTTGTAAGGACCAAAATGTTGGACCCCACAAGTTTAAAGGGCTCGTTGAGTCTTATATGAATCTTGAGTGGATGGTGCACTTGAGCATCTGTTTTAAGGCATTGAGTGGCCCTAAGGTCCCATGGTGGTCCACCGGAAGGGGAGGGACTTAGGGCCTGTGTCCACCAAAGCGTTTTTTAAATGAAATGTGAATGTAAAATGTCACCACAAGGTATGTAGGCCTACTTGCTCTGGCCTTTGCTCAGCATAAAGAGAAGGCTGAAACATGAGAGCACAGACTGTCCGTAGTGGGTTGATGAGATTTTGCGGGCGAGGACACACCTCGGCGAGTAGGCACATCGCTTCGTTCAAGATCGGATGTGCTCGGTGCGGTTTTTGTCCCGCCCCTCCTGCACTGTGAAAACTGTAAAAAGTGACAGTGACGAGCACAGCGTTTTTCCCAAAGTTGAACATTTTGCGACCGGAAAAAAACGCTCAGCGCCTCCTCACGCTCCTGCTGTTTTTACCAGCTAGTAAAAACGCAGCGCTCCCATTGGAATGAATTGAAAAAAGACGCTGCCGTCAGAAAAAAATGCTTTGGTGGACACGGGCCCTTAGGCTTTCTATAGACACCTCTCTCATTACACATAGTTTATTATCAGTTACAATTTAGATACAATAAATTCACAGGTAATCCAAGCTCACCGAGAATTAACACATGCTCAGTACTTCCAAAAATGCCATAACTACTAAAAGAAATAGAAAAATAAAAAAAGTAGTGGGACTAGAGTTGAGTTTTGGTGTGTATCAAACCCTTTTCTCATTTTGTATTCTTTCACATACCAGCACCTGATGTCTGCTGCTGTGCAGAGGATTTCTACATCCCTCAGTTATTACAGCGATTAACTTAACAAGAGAACAATAATTAAAGGTAAAAATAATTCAGATAAAACTTGGAGCAATGATTCATCTCATAAGTGACTGGCCCAAAGGGCTGACTGCATCACTCATAGGGGACAACATGTTTACTTGTTTCATATTCCAGCTCTTTCCAACTAATCTTTTTCCTCAGTGCACTTCCCCAGTTTATCTCTCGCTGCTGCTCAATGTGAAAAACGGCTTTGGCACACCTTGCTACTTTCTTCTGCTGATTTATTTGCCACACTAACAATTTCATTTTTTTTTTCTGAGGTTGTTGCTTTACTTCATTCAATTCAGTGGATTTACCACGACCTCTACAACCTCACTGCACTTTCTCTGTGTCTAAGTGCTGCCTGAACTTACTGAACTGCTCCTTTAGAGATCTGTATCAGCCAGTTTGCATTATCCCATAGGATTTATAGAACTTTTATTGTTCCTGGTCTCTCTCTTCTTCATTTTTGTCTACCATCTTTCTCACCATGTACCTGTATATTTATCATGTGTCCATCACTCTAGTTCTGTGTCTTTCCCTCTCCCTCTCGCCAGTATTCATTCTCTCTGTCAGCTATTAGCTAATCCCTCTTCTAATCCTGTTAAAGAGCGTTATGCTGTTAGCAGCTATTTGGGATGATCTATTCACACACACACACACACACACACACACACACACACACACACACATAGGTATTCATCCTCTCCTTCTCTTCTGTTTTCCATTTTGCCTCTCTGTAAATGTGTTTTCTGTTCCTCTTCAGCCACCAGATCTTTTATTCATGAGCCCGAGATGGAGAAGAGATGGGCTAATTTATTCACAGCTAACTTTGGCTCGCCACGGTGTGTAGTGTTTGTGTATGTACACACAGAAATTACATCTGTTAAGATTATTTGAAAGCAATTCTCTCCTTTCTCGTATGAATCTTTTGTAAATAAGGCTTGAATCTTTGCCGTTCCGTAGTTTTCCTGCTTTATTAGAGTGTAAAAATGAAGGATACAGTGAACGGAAGAAAGACATGGTAGAAGAGATGAATGTTGCTTCCAGTCACATAGGTGTGAGTGAAGGTTTTTGTGGACCACGGCATCACAAGGATCTGTCATAAAATTCAGTACTATCACCCAGAGTTCACTTATGATTTTTTAATAATTGCAGAGATATTCTTTCAGTCTTTGTTTTTAATCCTGTGCAAATCTGCCATGTCGTCAAACTATAAAGTAAAAATTCAACCACAAATTACCTACCAAAGTTTGTCATACATAGTGGTCTGATCCCATCTAGATTGGCATCTCAGTAATTTGAGGTTGTGTTTTCCTGCTCTTCCAGGCAGAAAATTGTGCAAGTTGCAGTGGAAATGATTAGTTAGAGCTTCAAAAGCACGTTAGGTGCAAATATCAGAGACTCATCTGGCTATTGATTTTGTTGGTTAATAAAATCAGCGCTGAGAGGTAAAGTAGGAGTTATGTCTCAGCCACCAGATAATCCTTGGGATTTGGACCCATACATTTGAGTGAAACACAACCTACCATTATCTTGCACAAATGCACTAAATATAAAATTTATTACATAGAGGGGGCTGTATCACTAAAATCACCCAGTCCCCAAGTAATTCCATGAAATACAAAAGGGGCTTTACTCCAGAGCTGAAACAAGTTAATCAATTAGTTTTCAGACAGAATATTGATTGGCATCTATTTTTATAATTCATTAATTGTGTCAGTAACTTTTAGCCATGCTAGTGCTGTGGCATCCATTTAATGAAAATATTTGTCAGGCAACCACTTTGGTTCAGACTAAAATACTGTAACAACAACTACTGGATTGATTGCCCTGAAATTTACCACAGACATTTGTTTCCGATTGCCCGGTAAAATATTTCAACATATACAGAGGTGCACTCAAGTAAAAGCACTGATACTGTTACTAAAACAAGCACAACTAATAAAAAAAAAGTACTCATGTAGAAGTGAAAGTGGTCATCAAAAAAACAATTTGAGTGAAAGAGTTACTGTACAATTTATTGAAAATAATTACTTGAGTAGCGAGTAAGTTAATAAAAAATACTGGGTGTTCTTCCACAAGTCTTTTATTTGATGTGGATATAATTTTTCAGCTTTATATCCAGCTGAAACCAATGAGCATGACTAGTTAAATGCATACTGCTCGTACACTGTTAGCTTGAATATTTAAATTATGACAGAAAGCAGGAGTAGTAGTTTTGAAGCATGATATACTGTGTGTAGCTATTTATTATAAAACATATTAGCATTAGCACAACAGACTCTGCTCTCTGTCACTTCAGTGTCAGTACGGTTCTCTGACATCACAACCAGAGCCCGCTGCACTGTGCACAAAATTTTCATCTGCAAATATATATTTGAAAGCCATACTACCATGCTGTAGCTTCAGCCATTCTGCTCTGAACAGAGTCATGTAGATGCATATAGACTGCGGTAGGATAACAAAGCAATAGCAGACTTGGGACCAGCTGGCTAAATACCTCTTAACAGATAAAAAGAAAATACTAAATAAATAATAAGTAGCACGATGTTATCAACATGTAACGCATGTAATGCATTAAAACTGCTCACAGTACAGTTTACTCAAAACAGTTACTTGAGTACGTGTAACGTAGTAAATGTAACTTGTTACTACCAACCTCTGAACATCCACTAACCAGACTTGCATAAAATGTGGTACAGGCATGCTAACTCATTATAATATGATGGTGAAAGTGGTAAACATTATACCTGCTAAACATCTGCATGTCAACATTGCAATATAACAATTACCATGAAATGATGCTTGCATTGCCCTCCATTAGAGTAAATGCAAGGGTAGTGTTATACTAATTTGTAAGCTTGTAAGCACACATAGATAAACACACACACTCAGAATTCCCTCCTCAGCAATAAGCCCTCTTCGTCCCCCCTCCAACAGTATTATTCGGTTATTCGACCAAAGCTGTTTGCATAGGGAAAACAAAACACACACAGACACATAACCAAGATACATGCTTTCTAAAGATGTCAAGAATAAAGGGCATATGGATCATGTTCTTTAGCTGACACATTTTGTGTTCATTTCTTTGAATCTACAAATCATGTGAAAATAAAGGTAGTTTGAAAATTGACTCTGACAGCTTCACACACATCTGCATGATTGCTGTTAAGTTCCGCTACAGTCAGTGAAGGGATTATTTATTATTGTTACATGTAACTTGATGCTCTTACCAGAAATATTAGCTAAGTTTAGTTTAGCTCCTACTTCCTATGAACATAAATTCATTATTCATGAATTCATTAACCTCTCAGAATACAGGCAATTTCACCCTGTCTTGAAAATTAGATATTAGCCTATTGTAGCTTTATTTGACTGATCACCTTATGTTACCCCAGGACAGAGTTCAGGGTGTCAAATGCCTTGACTTTATGGCTAAAATCTATTGATCAAACCACAAAAGTTGCCACTTCTCACATTGATCTTATTCAGTGTTTCCAGTGTTCGTCATTTGTCTGTAATTCATGATGAAATGCCACGATTAAATTATAGCCTGTAGATCTTGCATAATTCAGACGTGGCCCATGATTAATGGTGTCTTCACAATTTGTTGCTCAGGTAGAAAAGAAAGGTCAAGGAATTGGATAAAAAACACTTTTTCCCCCTCTTTCATATCTCTGTGCAAGAATCTGGTTCCAAATATAGAACCACCGAACCCACTGCTGATTGTCCTTTTAAAAAATGCCAAATGATCAAATCATGTAGTTTCATCATTAAAGAAGCAATCACTGACTGACACAGAAGGTACTTTTGAGCTATTCTGAGGAACATCTGAGCATTACCACGTAGCAGATGAAGGTGCTATACCGTCATATATCAGTAAGGCCCGCACTGTCCTCCAAGCGATGATTGCTTGAGAATCTGGGGTCAGGCTAATAATGATTCCTGCTCCATTAATTTTACTGCTCCAGCCTGGACTGGACCCTCTTAAGTGTGGCATGTGTTTAATTAATCATCTCGTCCTGATGTCTGGTCAGTGGTCACCCTATCCATCTCTCGCTGTTCCTCTCTGGATGAGTAAAGAGGGCTTTTCATCAAGCCTAGTGAAATGGAAAAATTGAAGACTTAATTAATACTCTTCTCTCTCCTCCCTCCCCTCCCCCCGATCTTTTTTTTCTTCCTCTTCTCCTTCCAGACTAATAAAGGTGACGCATTGGCCAGTCGTGTCCAGAACACACTGGGCTCCTACGAAGAAATGAAAGACCTATTAACCAGCCACTCCAACCAGAGCCACTTGGTGGGAATCCCCAAAGGCAGCAACAACCTGCAGACCCCGACCACTTCAACGACAGAGAGACCCGCCATGGAGTCCCAGCTTTTCAACGAAGCCCTGAGAGGAGGAACAGGTGGAGGAGGAGGAGCTGAGGGAGGTGGGGACAAGAGGGTGGGAAATGCATCTTCCTCATCTTTAACTTCAATGCAACCTCCTGCTTCGACCACATCGTCATCAAGCGCCACAACGATCCCACATCAGAATTCTAAAAAGTCCCGAAGCTCCATGGATTGGTCAAGGGCAGGCCATGGACAAAGTACCCAAGGAACAGGCCTCACTCTGGGGTTAGGACAGAACGGGCAGGGGCAGGTTACAGCTGCTCCCAGTGGAAGAGGGAAAATGTCTTTATTAGAGGAACAAAGGCATGAAGAGCTGTTTAGCTCACTTAAAGATGAACTCGGTCTAAAAGGAGACTCAAGCCCTTCTTCCTCCTCTTCCTCATCCTCATCCTCTTCCTCTTCTTCTCGGAGAAGGCACCCCTCCAAAACTCTTCCTCTCCCAGGTGAGTCCGACAGAAAGGCTTCAGAGGAATGGCCTGTTCGCTAAATTTAAAGCTACAGGCAGCAGCCAGTTAGCTTAGCTTAGCATAGAATAAATCCCGGAAGCAGGGACAAACAGCTAGTTTGGCTCTTGTCAGTTGTTAAAAAATATGTCCACAAGCACCTCTAAATGTGAATAATTAACATGTTATATCTCAAGGTGTTGCTTGAGATTTTTTTAATCATTCAGTAGAGCCGGCCTAGCTGTTTCCACCTTCCAATCTTTATGCTAAGCTATTGCTGCATTGATGCAATGTCAAATATGAAGAACTTGAAAAACACCCATTACTTAGGGTCGTAAATAGATGGTAACCCTAGATTAGATTTATACGTATGGTTTCTTCATTGTGCGCGTTGTGCATGTGGGATAAGCTTGCCTTCAGGGCTTTCTGCTAGAGAGCCTTTCAGAAACACTTCCACTGGGAGACTGCTGTTTGTGTCAAACCCAGGTCTGCTGGGTTTAAAATCCTGTTTGACCCAATCGTGCACCACAACCTCCTCCCTACGCGGACTTTGTAGCTTTTTATACTACATGAAGTACTAGTAATTCAGACACAGCCATTATTACAATACAGCAACAATACTTAATAAGTCCCCTCCACCATTCATAAAGAATAGTTTGAAGTGCCTCCAGGAATATCTGCCATTGCTAGTGTGTGTAGATTCATTCTTGATTAAACTTGCCATTCACACAACAAAAATGGGCATTCTTTTATTTTGATATTCATGGAACATCCTTGTATTTGCAGGAGCTATGAGTGCTTAGGAATAATTTCAGTGAAAAACAGACTCTGTCACCGTTTGGGTAGGATTTATGAAAATTAACATCTGCATTCGATGAAAACCGCATCTTTTAGTTGATTTCTAAATCACCCAGCAACACATAATTTGCTTTGATTGTGATTGGCTCCATCCTTCTGGGAGAGGGAATTTTGGCATTCAGCCTTCATTAGATTTTGACAGCACAGAGCCGAGCAGTATTCTACAATAACAGGTGTTGCTTTGGTGATTTTTAACTTTTTTTTCCTCCTTTTTCCTTCTCTCCTACAGATGGTGGCAATTTCCGATCTTCCACCATGGACGGTGGCCATTTTAAGTCTTCCACTAACACAGAAAATGGCGGACATTTTAAATCCTCCCCGTTTGAAAATGAGACAGGTTCTCAACTCTCTATGTCCTCCTCCCCGCTGGCTTCCACATCAGTTCTGACAACGCCTACTCCTGGTCTGACCACTCCCACATCTGGACTGACTACCCCCACCTTCCCACCTGGTAGCCTATCAGGGAAGCCGATCGCAGTGCAGCAGAAGCCCACAGCGTATGTTCGACCAATGGATGGCCAGGACCAGGCGCCTAGTGACTCTCCCCAGCTTAAACCCCCTCTAGTGGCCACAGAGACATTTAACAGCAGTCAGGCCTACGGAGGAAACTCGGGGAATGTGAAGAATAAACTGCCAAAACTGAGTCTCAGCCACGCAGGGGAGGTAAGAGACAGACTTATCCATAACAAACTGTTTAGCGATGAATGGTGTACTGAACACTTACTGATAAGTAGTTAAAATTATCCCAACAGTAACAGACCACATATTATTTACAAGTGGGTCACAGGTAATGTTTGATAATGTCACAATGTGATAAGTGAGTCTTCATGCGTAGAGACTTTCAGTATGTTGCACTTTTGGCTACACCACAATCAGCGATGTAACAATAGATTTTCTCTTGACAGATGATTGAAGCGTCTGCTGTGACATCACTGATTGGGGTGTGGTCAGAAGTACAACACTGTTAACAGTTTTAACCCATAGAGAGCAGTGCAGCAGCACTTTTCTATTTCTCAATCCACTGTTGATTTACAAGTAAGGGGAAAAAAGGGGAAAAAGAAGAAGCTAAATTTTAAAGTGTATGGTTATCTCATACTGCAGAAATAAACACAATAATACACAATAATCTGCAGAGCTGCAGTCTCTATTAATTCAGTTTACACTGGCAACTCGGCACGACACCGGTGAAGCTGGGGCTCCATCTCTTCAGCAAGTGTTCCTCTTCTGCCACTACACGCATACATGCTACGCCTACTCATGCGCACTGATGAACCAGGGTTAGGGTTACAATTTTGGATATGTTTACACACTTTAAAAACATTTATTGATTCTTTTTACATGTTTATTTACAGAATTAAACGTTGAAATGTATATTGTAATAGGCTGTAAATTAACTTATTGGGAGAAAACTGTTAGTTCTATGTAAAATCAGACGTTGAGCACCCCCATATCACCAAAATGGCATGATCCTTGTTTTGCTGCGAAGCCTCCACTGTGTGATTGACAGTCAAATCAGGCTCCGCCCATCGAAGCATCGAATCTTCGACTATTCGGGGTCAGCCCTACTAACTTGTATTGATGAGCATTTGGTTGGGTTAACGTTGAGCATGCTGTCTGTGCTTCTGATGTTGTGAGTGCATGTTTGCAACAACAGCAATTCTGTCTTAGCCATTGCCTAGCGCTGTGTATTGTGTTGTCGAATGATAGCTTGGTGAATATCCACACATTTAGCTAATTGTAATGTCAAATGTACCTGACAATACCAAACTCCTCCATCCTGTTCTCTCTCTCTCTCCTCTCTCTCTCTCTCCTCTCTCTCTCACTCTCTCCCCCTCTGTCTATCTTTCACGCACTTAATTTTCAAAACAGCAAGAAACACCAGCCTTGATATGTGTGTGTGTGTGTGTGTGTGTGTGTGTGTGTGTGTGAAACTGGTTGACAGGCGAGTAGTCATCCATATCGAGCAAGCCAGCTGTTCCTGTGCTTTGATAGAGCTGGTTTGTGTGTGTGTGTGTGTGTGTATGGAGCGCTCCAAATGAGCCCGAGATGGAGCTTTGAGCATATGGCACCGAGAAGGAGAAAGCAAGGGAGACAGGGGAAACAGGGACGGAATTAAAATGTACTTTACTTTCAACACTTTCTTATGGAGGGTGAGAAAGAGAGTAAGTACATTCATGGCCGTGAGTGGTTTCTTTCACTTTGTTTCACCCACACGTCCGTGGATGCTCCGTTATCGCCTGCTTACCGTTTAGTTTTCACTCCTCTCATATTTATTCCGGCGAGAGCTTGTAGGAAGGAAAATGTAAACTCAATGCTGACTGAGGGGGAGGAAGAGAGGGATATGAGGAGAAAAAAGGGGAGACTGATGATGTGAGATTGTGGGAGGGAGGGCAGAGAAAGTGTGAAGGGATAGAGGAAGACAGTGACTGACTGATTACAGCACCTTATCATCACTGTATTTGTTCTGGTTAGATTAGTTATAGGATGTGTTCTGCAGCTTAAACAGCAAATAGCAGCAAATCAGACACCAAATGAAAGACTTAGAGGACGCTGTTGCTCATTTTATGCCAGCAAATAAGATGAAGAAGAAGACGAGCATTTTACCCTTTGATTGGTGAACGTGTGAACTGAAAGTTTAGCAGCACAGTAACAGGTGACAATAATAACAGGGGTGGTTGTAATGTGTCACGTGAATGCAAAATCAATGAAAGGAATTCCTGTGGAGTGAATCAGCACGATTGATTTTGCATTTAATGGTTTTCAAATTAGTTCAGGTGCCTTGGGTGTGTTGAAATACTCAATATTTGGCTCACAGTTGTGTTGTTGAGTGTACAGTGATTTTGTGGGTGTGAGTGTGTGTCAAGGGTGTGTGTGTGTGTGTGTGTGTGTGTGTGTATCCATGTGCGCAATAAGCCTTTAAACTGCAGTGGAAGCTTTCTGTTAGCACCATAGAACTATTGATTAGAGCCCTTTATTCCCAAGCGTGGGGGTGTGTGTGTATGTATGTGTGTGTGTGTGTGTGAGAGAGAGAGAGAGAGAGAGCGAGAGAGAGATATACTGTAATACTATTGATCTTTTCCTAATTGTTACAGGCTTAAATTTACCACTGGACACACACATACACACACACACACACACATTTAGTTGTTGTCAGCAGCTCAAAGTGAGGCACAGCAACATTTTCCTTGGAATGATCAAGTTTGAAATATTATGATGTCTAGCTATTAATGCTGTTGTGGGTGGTGATGGAACAGTGGATAAGACCCAGGTTCGAGACACCAACCCCTTGTTGCTCCAGAGGCGTGGACCTCTGACACATATAGCTTTATTGGATAAAAGCCTCAGCTAAATGAATGTGTAATAATGTGTATGCTGTAATGTGTAATGTGTATCGAACGTATGTGTGATATCTGCTGTGTGAAATGCATCAAAGCTAAAATGTGGTCTGAAGACAAAATCAATACAAGTTAGCACACGCACTAAGCACTTAATCTCCTGTTTTCTGGAAGGATTTATGACATCACAACTAGTTTGGGTCCAGTAAGAAACGTCCTCTAGTGTGATGTGGGAACTTGAAGCCTCCAGTGCACAAACACCTAGAATGGACTTTTTTAGTGACGTAGGAGACATCTTGTGTCCAGTGGTGAAACTAAAATACATTTGCATATTTTTAATTGTGGATTTTTCAATGAGGAATAAATGGAATAGACTGTGTGTGGGCAAACACTTACACACTTTCCTTCAACACAGAGTGGTTACAAGCATGGTTGTAACCAGCTATGAGGTCACAGAGGTCCGGACCTCTGTAATTATATGTAGCCTATTGGCAATAGCCTATCAATAAAATAATTAGAATAAAAACCACTGATAACACGATCAACTTAAACATGGTCAGTGTCCACACTTGGGGAAACACATGAAGCACATGAAAACCTTGTGCGTGCAATAACTGAGAGCAGCACTGTTAGCAGAGTTTTGGACGATACATTTTGTGAATTTCCGGGTGTGTGAAATAGAGTGAAGCGTCTCCCCATTAAGAGAGACGCTGGGTGCATTTACGCACGAGGCACAGCAGCATAACGTCATATTTAAATCTCCCGACATGCTGACAGGATCAGTCAGAATCTAATGTTAATTAATGCTCTGTGTTCTTCTCCACTTCCAAAAGGTCTCACAAACAGTCCAGGTTCATACAGTGTTCATAAACTGTTTGGAGTAAAGCAGCCGCCCTCCTGATCAATCCTGAGCTCCATCAGAGCATCTAAATTATTTCAGAAGCTAAAAGTTCAGTTTTGTTTCCTCAGTCCTGTCAAGTTTATAACTACAGTTTTTAGTTTCACATAAATGTCCCACGGTATTTCTTGTGACATTACTGCGCCCATGGAAACCTTTAAAATAACTGACAGCAGCCTCTCTAATGAATAAAAGTAAACCGTTAAAGAACACTCATACATCATCACACCAGTGTAGCTCCTATAATCGTGACAAAACAGTGCAAACAGATGCTGATGCTCAACCAGAACATCCTCTGAATCCTATTTTATGTTGTCATATAGTAACAATAGTGCCCATTATGTAGTCTGCTCATCTGATATCTCAAATGTGAAATAGCCAAAACAGCTGAACAGTGAACTCCAAGAGAAATTGGTGTGTTCATGCGTTCATGAGGGTGCCCCTCTCACTCATAGTTAGAAGATGATAGGTAGAAAATAGGTTGTCTGTTGTCGGGGCCTTTGACACAGCATTTAGTAATTGCTTGGCCACTTGAGGACAGCCGAACATGCTGTATATATATTACCTTACAAAGCAAATGTGTTAGCAAACAATTGCATATTTACACATGTAGCATACACAGAGCAACATTAGAATTCATTTGGAGTTGTGTGTCTGGCCATCTGGCAAATGTGGGTCCAATGTTCACTCTCCTGTTAGCCCTGTTTTGGTCTCTGCTTTGGTCACCAGGTAGTTGCTAACTTTGTCTGCCTGCTGTTTGGTGCTGTTATGGAAGCGTACAGTGGGACTTCAGAGCACTGAAAACAGCTGCTGCTGTGACTGGAAAGAAGGTTAATGAGAGCAATGAGACTGAACCAAAAGTGTGAGCTGAGAGTCAGGTTATAATTATCTGTGGGATTGTCACCTCTAGCCACCAAAATAAATAAACAAATAATTCATATCACATGCAAAAATACCTTTTTTAAAGATCCTTTAAAGAAACTTACTGTATCACAAAGTCACATATATTCAAAAGGCTTGTACAGAAATTCTATTCTAATAGAAGAAGCAGAAGAAGCAGAAGAACACTTTACTCTTCACCTGAAGTCAAGCTGTCACTATGTTTTTAGTGACATCGATTGCTTACAGTCTCTGCTGCATTCTCATTCAGGTAAACAACATCCAAGTCAAGTGGATACACAAGTATATTTGTTAGGCCCTGCCAGCGAGGCCGCAAGATGGTAAACATCGAGGTGACAGGTGACATTTCCACCGGCACTGTGACAAGTTTCATTTACATGTAGTTCAAAGTATAGAGCTGATGTAATTTCACACTGATTTGAAGGCCTGCTGTGGTGTTTCCGTCAGGCGCGTGCAGAGGTGCACACGGCGCCTCACCACTAATGTAGCGGTAAATAAGAAGCAGGGTAGACTAAGACCTCCAGTCAGTA